CTAATAATTATTATTAATATATATATATATATATAATTATATATATATATACTTCACAAAAAAAATAAAACAGTTATAATAGGGATAATCACTAAGAGTGGCTAAAGTTACAGTTTTGTTCATATATTCATGAGTTTTGGGTAGCTTCCTTAGCCTCAAAAAGTCCTTCCAAGTTTGAAAGTGAAAAGTGAATGGTCAAGAAGTCCATTTAAGAGAAATAAGAAATGTTGCTTATGAAATCTCCTTTAATTGCCTCCAGGGGCTTGATCGAATTGGTAAGGTCACGACCTAGACATCCACATGTTCCAGGTTCAAACTCGTTCATCACCATTATAACCCTCGATTGAAATTGTTGCTGAGGTGTGGGGCCGTCGATAGCATCTCCGGTTTGTAGCCTAGGGTGGATCCTGAAGGGATCCTACCCAGGTGAGTTTCGATACCAGCCAAAAAAAAAAAAAATCTCCTTTAATTATAAAAAATAAATAAATATCTCATTTAAGAAAACAATTTTTTTAAAAAGACCAATTTGTTATTTTACTAATATATCCATATACTTTTCATAGATTGACAAGATTGTCCTCTATTCTCGCTTGATCATTTGTTTCACTACCACTGTCTTTTCACCACCACATCTTTCTACTACCACTGCCACCACATTCCACCGCCAACACCCTCACCACTACCACCACGACCCCTTAATTGCCACCTTCCACCACTACCCTCACTACCACCTTCTACGTACTATCACCACCACACCTTACATTACCATCGCCACCGGGACCTTCCACCACCACCACCATTGCCGCTGCCACCGTGACCTTCAACCACTACCATCACTATCGCCATTACCACCTTCCACCACCGCCGCAGTCACCCTCGACCTTTACCTTACAGGCTTCCACCACTGTAATCAACAATGTCACCTTCCACCACCACCACCACCACCCTCAACCGCCACCTTCCACCACCACCACCATCACAATCACCATCTGCCACCACCACCAACATCCGCAACGCCATCGCCTTCTGCCACTGCCGCTCTTCAAACTTTTTGTTAAAAGTTTGCAATAATTGTTAAGGATAAAAGATATTATTGTCAAGAAAAAAATAATCTAAAAGTTAAAGTAAATGTAAAAAATATGCTCGCCAAATAACTTTTTCTTATAAATTCCTTCCAACAAAATTCATTTAACGAAGGCTTACCAGTGAAATACTTTTGATATGAGAAAGTTCCTCCAAACTGGACCTGATTAATTGGACTATTAAAGGGAGAGAACAGCATAAGAATGAAGCCCAACTCATGTGAAAAAGGCACCCATTTGCATCTCCAATAGAGAACCCAAAGATCAGAGCTGGCATATATCGATGATTGCAATAATAAAGTCAGCACACGAGATAAATTCCTTGGTTATATCTTCTATGGTTGTCTTTTTTTGCAGAATTTCCTTGGAAGATCATGACCATATTTTTTTCAGTTGTCCTTTTTTTTTTTTATATAGAATTTTCTCTCCTCTAAATTTGAGATTCTGTTTGCTCAAATTCTACTTAATTCCTAGGATATCATTGTTAGATGGGTCTGTTTATCATTTAAACTCATTCTTTCATCCATTGTCATTGTGCTTTGTGCTGCCTTCTTGCTCTTATGTTGCTTCTGAGAAGCTGTTCCGACCATGATGTGTATCTTTCTGATTTAGTCTGCGGCTTGAGTTAGTTGTATGATTGATGATGGTTGATTGGTTGCTGCTGGTAAAAAGAGAGAAGTCCAAGATCACTTGGCACAAATACTTCACCTAAGATGCCTTGACGGTATTGGACAAGGACGCGTTGAATACAGGATAATGACACATTTTTTACACTTTCAAAATACAACGGGGTGGTGTTATAATTAGTGCTTTTTAAAAAAATAAAATTCAATGTAATTTAAAACAATATAAAATTTAAGAAAACAAAAAAAACATAGATCTATCTTTATGCTTCAAGAAGCCAGCACAGTTTCTGTACATTTCCAACAGCATCCCAACTTGACCACCATGCTCTTAAGTGTTAACTATGGTGGCTAAACCTCCACCACCAACCGCCATTGTCGTTGCCAATAACCCATCAGAAGAAGAAGACACCACAAAACCAGATCCCAATAGCTGCTATGCCTCAAAGAATAGGTAGGCCCTGAGATGCCTAAAATCTTATTGATCTTCAGTGCCATGTTGCCAAGTCTCACAGTCGTCCTCCTCTTTTCTCCTCAACATCTCTGCAATGTGCAATCTCTCTCATTTCCAATTTCATCTCTTGGCTTCATCATTAGTAAATAATTTGTCACATGGGATGCTTATGTGTGAAGTATTTTGAAAATCGTAAACACAGAGAATGTACAAAATAGACAATATTTAATGGACAAATCGTGATGTGTTAAAAATTCCTCTATTGTGATTTTTAAGCATCAGTGCATTACTCAGTGGCCCGGAGCACCCAACTCCCCTGGTTTCGCCCAACTCCCCAAACAGTTCTCCCCTAGTTTGAAAAAAAAAAAAAAAAAAAATTGATTTTTAAATATTACAATACAGAGTAATGATAGAGAGTCTGACAGTGGATACATACGAGTAAATTTATGTATGATGTCATCATAAATATCACAATATAGAGTAACGATAGAGAGTCTAACAGTGAATACATCCAACTAAATTTATGTATGATGTCATTATAGTTAATGACGTTACAATTATATCATCATTCACTCACATAAATAAGTCAGATACATTGGACTTTCGAACTACTTATCATTATTTTGTAATATATCACTAAAAACAGAAAAAAAGAAGAAGATTTATGTTTGCTCATGTGTAGTAAATACAATTAATCAGTGGACGTGTTAACCCTTGACATATATTCTATATATATTTGCAAAATGTTGATTCCCTTATATTCTATTAACCAAGTTGCTCATTATTTCATTAGCACTTTTGGTCAGACCAAAATCATTTTGTACCCACATACTGTGATAGACCATAGAGAGGCTTGAGATCAACTCAACAGCATGTGAGCTTCACTGTGATTCATTTCAGTCTCACAAAATATTAGATTCATAACAATGTAAATAATTAATGGATTGGAACTAATTTAGGAAATTTGACTGAATCGAATCAAAGGTAAAATTATTTATTTGTTATTCACATATTTGATTTAGTTTGAAAAAAATAGATTTAAAAGAGATAAAATAAAACTATTTTTAATGCTTTTATTTATTTTTACATATTTTCTTGAATTTATACAAATCAACATCTCGAGATTTACATTTTCTTTCTAAATTTTAATTAGAAAAAGAATTGAAAACAATGTAAATATTACATTGCTTATTCAAGAATACTTACATTGCATATGAAAGGAAATACTGTAACTTTTTCAAAGATGTCAAGATGAGTTCACTACAAATATGGGCCATTTAATTAATTTGTCAAATATTTTAGAATTTTTTAAACTTATTTTCCCTATGACAATTAATACCAATCACAAAATTGGAGATAAACAGGTGTACTGATAAACTGATAATTTATATGAAAAGGGCATTGTAGATATTCTAATTAATATTTGAACTTAACTGATATATATATATATATATATATATATATATATATATATATATATGTATATTTGAAATACAAATTTAAAATTCCAGTATTACTATGTTTGGAGTATCAAATTAGCAGTTTGAATTTAAAATTGAAAGAAATTTAATTTAAAATTTAAAATTCAAAACACCGCTATCAAACCAACATATACCAATATTTATGCATCTCTATGCATGAATAGATTCAAAATGGACAATTATATCTGAAAAATCACAAGGTTAGAGGGCAGAATTAGAGTCTAACAATGGAAAGAGACTAAGTTTGATTTCATAATGGTGTATAATTTAGTTTACATGCATGCCCATAATTCATTCAAATGTACTATGACATTGCTTTGGTCATCTATTTATTTCCAGCAAAAGGAAAGACAGAAGGGTTTTAAAGATGTTTGTATTTTTTTGGTGTTTGGTAGATGTTTAGGTTGAGGTTGATATTGAATTCATCGGGCAGAATGTGTAAATAATTAACCAAAAATTAATGAGTAAATTATTTTTATTAAATTTTAATATTTATTTTATATCCAAACAATCAAGCTAATTGTCTAGGATTAGTTCACTTGTTCATAATAAAAGTGATGTTTATAGTGAGAAAACCATTTCCTTATTTCTTCTTATTCTTGAAAAAATAACAAAGGACTTTTCTTCGTATAATAAAAAAATAAATAAATAAATAAATCAAAACACCGAGAATTAGTTGGGGGTGGGGTGTGAGGATCATTCATTTTATGTGAGTCAAAACGTCGGATTATATGATTCGAGCATTATGTAATAAATGTGTAAATTTTATTCAACTTTTGTTTAAGTATCAAACAAATAGTAATTGATAATCATTACAAAATCACGTAATAATATTGAAAAGATTACGTATTTTCCTTCCTTTTCATTTCTCTTTTATTATTTTTTGAGCAGTGCAGTGAAGGAGGCTGGAGCCATTCTTTAATAAAGTATTTAAATCCAACAACCATAAAAGCACCCTCCTAATAATACTTCCATTATCTTGTAGTATTATTTTTATTTCTCTTTCTTCTTCCCTTTCTACCCTACCAAACAGAAAATTTAATAGATTCCTGGTGTCGCCACCAAGTGAGAGAGCAAACCTTTGAGTACAAGCGATAACGTGATCCCCATCACTCATTTATTTGGAGTCTAATGGTGTTGTCTACCCAAAAAAGATAAAAAAAATAAAAAAATCATATAGTCAGTCACATCATCATGTTCAAAATCACAAATCCAACGGTCTAAAATATCCCACATTTCACTAACGACTAGCAACCGACACCATGCACCCCCCTCTCCACTATCTCTCATTGCCAGCTAATACGTTGACCAAGTCAAATTATTTAAAAAAATTACAAATTTAAAACAAAATTACAGGAATGTCCTTTTGTCCGTTATTCTCAATTTAAATCACATTGAAGCTTCGACCCTCTCTATATCTCTCTCTCTCTAACTCAATTTCTCAGTGTGTGTTTCTCGCTCTAGATTCTCACCCGAAGAAGGTACGTAGATCAATCAATTGACGATCGCAATTGTAGAGTACATTTTCAATCGTCATATATGAACAATGATTTGGTTTTACCTTTGTTCTTAGGGTTTGAAATTTTGATTCGCTTGTGCATTTCATGTTCCATGGCATTCTTTGTTACAGATCTGATGTTTTCTCACCAGATCTTTCAGTATGCGTGTGTTTTTCGTCTATATGATTATTTTTCTGACGTTTTCTTGTAATTTTTTATGCTTGATTGTGTTATTTTGGAATATAATGAGACTAATCTCGTGTTTGGGTATAATTTCTTGTAATTTTTGAGGCGTCATTGTTTTTTTTCTTGTTCAGATTATGTGTTAGATCTATTTTATTGAACAAATTAAAGAAGTGAATTTGTAGAAAGAACAGAATCGATGGAAATGATAGGATTACATTATGTATAGTCATTAATTTTCTAGGAATTCTGGACCCCTTTGTATCACATCTGATCTGTAGAATTGTAGAATTGATGATGTGTTTTTTGAAAGTAATCTAGTTTAAAAGTTATCCTTTGGCCTGCATTTTAGAAAGCAAAATTAGGGTTTCAAAAAATTTGACGGATTCATGGTGATTATGTTGATTTCTGTTTGTTGTTTCCTTCTAAAAGCTAGTACATTTTAATTACTTCATGGATGTCTAATGTGAATTTACACTAACCTTTATTTATGGAAATACAAAGTTTGGTTATTGTATTTTTTATATTTTTTGTGTCAACCATGGGCCACAAAGTTTGGAGTTCCTATTTAACATGTTTTTGGTTTTTGGAAGTGAGAATAATAAAAATTATTAACTGGAGAAATCACGGTTGGATCGTTCAGGTCCTGAATCACCATTTTGTTTATTGTTTTTCTTTTCTAAATTTATCTTTCGATGATTCGATCTTGTATGATGGAGTCTAATCACTAAGAATGTAGGTGAAAGCAAGGTTGTGAGGATTGGGATTTTATGTAGCATTGATGAAGTGTCCATAGGATTGGGACTGTAGGATCGGATCGAGGATTGTAAGATTCTATAAAACTTGTACGAAAATTACTTAAACTAACTTTTAAATAAAGCTATTGTAGAAGTAAATTGATAATAAGGCTAAACACAACAACATCAACATTAAAATATTTAAAAGATACAAAGAGAGTAGTGAGTACGACACATGACAAACACTTGAAACCAATTAAGTAGAATTTCAAAGAAGCAATTAAGGAAAATCCTAAACAAATTGAAAAAAGGAACATAGAAATAGGGAGAGTGTAGGGGTGCCCCATTCGTGATTTAGTTGATGTCACATTGTAACTTTGATGATGAAAGTATTTCTTAGAAAAAGAATCTGAAAATGACAGAACTCTCTCTCTCTCTAACACACGCACACATGCATACATGGTTTTTGTGTGGATTTGAACATGTGCCTTGTGCTTGCTTGTGTTTGTTTGTTCATGTAGCGTATGCATGTTAGATAATCAAATTTGGTGTAGTGTTTGAGTGCTTGCTCAGGCTTTGTGTCATGTGCGTTTCTTGGCTGACTATTTTCTGTATATCTTTTAACATCTTCTTTGAACAAATAAACTTTCTTCCATGCAAGTTGTTAACTGTCCATGTACATCATCATCTTAATATTATATGTGGTAGTGCAAGCCCTTGCTCACCCAGGATTTTTGGCAGGATCATGAACAAATAGTTTAGGTGGCTATGCTTGTCCAGGCTCTGTGACATGTGCATTCAATAGCATTTGCTTCTTACGTGTATATATATATATATATTTATGTATGTGTTTAACACTTTTTCAGAATTAATGGAATTTCTTCCTCACAAGTTACTTACTGTCTATGATATATTTCGAAGTTTAGTGTTCTGATCATCATCTGTTTAATGAACAGTGCCTGGTCTTTCTTTGGTCTTTCTTATCTTGAAAGAAAATGGGTCGTGGAGTCAGTGCTGGTGGGGGGCAGAGTTCTTTGGGCTACCTGTTTGGAGGTGGAGAGACTACAAGTACTCCTCCAGCTGCTCAGAACCAGGGCAAGAGTGTAAACGCTGAGCCTTCCCCGAAGCCTGCAGCTGCTCAAAACCAGGGGAAGGGTTCAAATACTGAGCCTTCCCCGAAGTCTGCTAGTGCTTCACAGCCAGTGGAGAACAACGGCAAGCAGATTCCAGCTGGCATTCCTGGCAATAAAGTAAACAACTACTTTAGGGCAGATGGGCAGAACTGTGGCAACTTCCTCACGGTATGGTCATGATGAAGCTAAATCATTAATCTGCAGTGCTAATTATTATATTTTTAAAAGTGTTTCAGTATTTGAACTAAGTTTCATATGCCTTTTCATTTTTTTTTTTCTTTTCCCCCTCCTTCCACATCAATCTGTGCTGGTACTGCTCTTATTATGTAGTTGATGAGCGGTTTGATTCTCCAGTTTTTGCTAATTAAATTGGGCACCTTTTCTTTCTTTCTTGGCCTGATATTATGAATATTATCTACTTTTACACGAGATATGGCTCGTTCTCCATGAGTATGATGTTGTACAGTTATGCTACTTCTGACGTGATCAATTATGTGTAGCAATGTAGCATAACATTTGTCAACATCGGCGAAACTTTCTTCGTTCTTACTTATAGGGTATTCTTTTATATTATTTTTATTTATTTATTAATTATTATCATCATCATCATTGTCATTGTTATTAAGCTTGTCAATATTTTACAAACAGTACATTAATTCTGCTGTGGCTTGTATTTTTATATTACATTTCAAAACGAAACTTTTACCATTATGGTATATGCCTACTAGTTGCTCTATTTGGTCAGAATGCCGTTTGAAATTCATTACGATCAGATGAGACTCTTTTTACATTCTTTGCTGTGTTTTGTGCTTTATTTACGGCATTTCATTCTTGCGCTTGCTTTGTTTGTTTAGCATGGAAAATAGATTGAGAGCTGCTGCTAATACTACATCGTAAATTTGAATTGTTTTAACCCATCTTCAAGAGGAAAAATATCAATGTTTCTTACGATGAATTTTTTTCCGCATTACTTGATATTTTCATACTGACACGAGATCAATGAAACTGTGCCAAGCATTATTAATTGTATTACATGATCAATTTTCTGCTTTGTGGCAGAATTATGGATTTCTTTTTGTTGATAGAGAACCCATCTGTTGACCTGTTAAGCCAAACACTCACATCTTAGATTCTATGTTCACTGAATCTGATTGTGCTTTTTTAACACATTGGACTTGTATTAGGTGTTTTTAATGCCTTTACTTGATATTTTCATACTGACACGAGATCAATGAAATCTGTGCCAAGCATTATTTATTGCATTACATACTTGATCAATTTTCTGCTTTGTGGCAGAATTATGGATTTCTTTTTGTTGATCGAGAACCCATCTGTTGACCTGTTATGTGAAACACTCACATCTTAGATTCTATGTACACTGAATCTGATTGTGCTTTTTTAACACATTGGACTTGTATTAGGTGTTTTTAATGCCATTTAGTTAGGTGAGTCTCTCTGTTTCTCAACTTGTCTAAAATTAGTTTCCAATATGTGTACTCTTCTGAATTTTCTAGTTTGTCTATTGATTATGATTTTGGTTTCGGTGTAATACCTGCACCCCTAAAAAATAGATTTTATAGGATATAAGTGACTGTCGTGCTGCGTGCATTATCAAATCAACATTTTCGATTCAAAACAAAGTAGATAGTCGTTTTGGCATCATATACTATGGCCAAGGGACTTGAAAGAAAGTTTAGCGCTGTGATTTTATGGTATGATTTTTGTACAAAAAGCAAATTTGAGCAGAGATATATAATGAATTTTTGTTTTTCCTTAGTTATACAGAATGGTGCATATCTTGCACCTTTTGAATGCTGCACCATTTTGTGTCAACTTCTGCTTATTTTACGTGGATCCAGCAAATTTTGTTGTCGCGATTTTCTTCCATCTCATGTTTATTATATTGTGCTAACGCTATCAATATGGTTTTATTGTGGGTGCAGGATCGTCCTTCAACCAAGGTCCATGCTGCCCCTGGTGGTGGTTCTTCCCTGGATTACCTCTTTGGTGGTGGTGGGAAGTGATGATGTCTCTGGTCCTGGATAGTGTTTTTAATTGCTTTGTATCTTAATCTTGAAACCTGCTTGAACCTTTTATTATCACACAATGTTTTTTTATGCAACTTTCATGGGATTATTGTGCCTAGATTTACTTGGTCAGAAATCAAAATGCAAGTGCTTAATGCATTCGTTAATTAAAATTCTTGTGATCACCTGTTTTTAGTTTGTATTATATTATCTCTCATGAATCTACTGTTACAATTGTTACACCAATATGTCCCAAGATTTTTAAGTATGGTACTGCCTCGTATTAGTAGGTGGGCTTTGACGCAATGGTAAGATTGCTCTATTTGAGACCTGGAGGTCACAGTATCGAAACAAGAAACAACCTCTCTTCGCATGCAGAGGTTACGTAGGTATCCCTCCCCAGACCCACACTAGGGAGAGTCTTGTGCATTGGTTAGTCCTTTCTTAATGGTAGGAGTTGTCAACCGGATTTCCAGCATTCTTTTTAGGAACCTCTTTGAGAGGAGGTTCAGTAAGAAGAGGTGTGTACTGTTGAACTGCATAAAACATGCAGCATCTAGATTCCATAAACGAGTGGTTGTTTACTACCAACTTAGTTGAGTCGAATGGGAGAAGCCATTAGTGCACTGACGTGTACCGTGGCCAGTATAATCTTTTCAACTGATTGGCTCCCTTTGTTTGGACTAAAATGTTTTTCTTTATATATATATATATATATATATATATATTTATTTATTTATTTTCCGGTGTTCCTAAAATATTTTCTATATCAGATTTTGTGCACAACTAACTCTTTTTCTTCCATGTTCGTCACCAACTGAGAATAAAACATACAATTAACTATCTCTTTCTTTCTTCACTCTATGTATACCCCCCTCACTCTATGTATATATAAAGAGAGAAGAGTGAAAAATAAATTTTTAGATTGAGAGGACTGAAAACGATTAGTTATTAGAGAAACATAGAGATTCAATAAAAATACGAATGGTTACTTTCTGTCTCTTCGCGAAACACCCTCCCCTCTTTCTCCTCTCACCTCTCACTCTATGTATACGTATAAAGAGAGAAGACTGAAAAATAAATTTTTAGATTGAGAAATTATTAGAGAAACATAGAGGTTCAATAAGAATATGAATGGTTAGATGACCCAAGGTAGTTTATGAAAAATGACTTTCTAAAACTTTTTGGTAAATCATTTTTAGTTATTTGGAGGTAAAATGATATATATGAAAAATATTTTCCTAACCTTGGAGTCTTCCAAACATTGAAAAATAAGGGAAATAATTTTTAAAAAATGCTTTACAGTAAATCAAAACACAGCCAACATTTTCCATTGAACCTTATCATGAGGTGCTTTGAGTTGTTTAGACCCAGTAGATGATCCATAGGGTGCTTGTAATTGTTTACATATTTTCCCCCCTTTCTTGGGAGTTGAGAAATTAAGGATCCGTTTGGCTACGATGTGTTTCAAGTGTTATGGTCAATACCAAAACAATCTGAGTAGAAATTGGAATCATGTTCAGTAACAAAAATTTGTTTTACCCAAACATACAATATCACCAATTTGGTGATATGGGTTGTGGTTAAAAAATCTGATATATTATGAACTATACAAATTTAAGAAAAACAATATCATAACACTTCCCAAATAGGCCCAAAGGCTTGCTCGGTTCAGTTTTCTATGTCTATGAGAACTAAAATAATAATAATAAAAAAATATGTTTGGTTGATATTTTTGAAGATGTTAAAAAAGGGTATGTGTTTTGAGTCGTGATGCATAAAATAATTTTTGCACCGAGTACTTGTTTTAGCATGAATAATCAATAAAAAATTACTCGGTTATAAAATTCACTACAAGTTTTTTATACGAGTATCACTACTCTTCATATAATATTGAATTCTTTTTTAAATTAAATATATAGAAGATAATGGTTTATGTTTGAGATTATAATATTTAATATTTTCTTTTCGGAAAGTTCGATCGAGCCAGTTACATCTTTCTGTTATTTATTTATTTAGGTAATATTGATTTAAAAAAATATTTTTTAAAAATTAATAATATTAATTTTAGAAATTTAATAAAAAAGAGGATGATTTTGTTGTATTTGAAAACAAGGAAAGTGAGTTTGGAATGTAAAATCTCACTGATATATATATATTACTTGTGCATGCGTAGTGCAAAAAAAACACTCCTCAACTATATTCGAATTTGCAAATAATCCATTGAACTATAGTTTGTGCATTATACCCCTTGAATTATTACATTTTGTTGTATAGTGCTATAATGTTTAAACTATATTTCATTAAATGAACATAATGCATTTTCTTATTGAATTACACTTATTCTATTTTTTTATTTTTTTAAAATAAATTACAAAAAAAATCATACTAATTTGATTACATATTCTTCATTTAATTTACATAAATTTACCTTTAATTTTTTAAATTAATTGTTTAAATAAAAATCTTAAGTAAATTCTTTTAAAACAATTTAATTAATTTCTTAATGTTTCATGTATATATTTCATTAAAACTAAGATATATTTTTTATTTAAGTGATTTATTAAATTTTCATTAATATATTATAGAAAGAAGAAGGTATTTTATTGGGTATAATAAATTTTATTATAAATAAATTTTTTAATAATAAGTTAATCATTTAAAAAAATGGTATTTACAAATCTGTTTATTTTTTATTTCTATGACAAATTGATACTAATAATAAAATTAAGGTAAATAGTATAATTAATATTTAAATAAAAAAAAATATAATGAAAATAATTTAATAAGAAATGACAAATTTAATGAGAAATAATTTAAACTGTTTTTTTTTTCCCTTCAAAAACGGGGCGTTTCTAAAATCATCTGGGATATTTTTTTAATTGACGTGGCCAAATCCTGTCCGTTAGATATTTCAGCTGGATTGGAGCAAAGAAAATAAGGTAAAGGAGCTGAATCCTCATTTTAGGGTTTTTCAGTTAGAGTTGGTACCAGTTTCTCTCTACTGCGCATCTAGTTTTTCAATTCTTTGAGATTCATAGAAGATGACAACGGTGGTACCCACATCGGAGGAAGATCCTGCTCTCGCCGTCGTCCGCTTTACTTCCCAGGTTTCCTGGGCCGACGCCGGTCCCGAGGTACCATCATCTCTTCTATATATTTATAGATATATACACAGATTATAGTATATATCTTTGCAAAGGCGGTCCAGATGATTTCACACTATTTTAACCTCCAATTTCGCCTTCCCAATTTTAATTGTGATTGTGTATCTATGTTTTTATATATATTTATATATACGCTTATTATACTTCAGGAATTTTTGAATGCAGTTTGATGATTGAGATTCACTCGTGTGATATTTTGTTTCTATTTTAATATTTTGTTAAAATTAGGGCGTTATTGAGTATTTCGTGAATGGGTTTGTTTGTTTATCATTAGGTTGCAGAGCAACAAGTGTCTAGGTTATGTATGGAGGCTGAGGAATGCATGGTGATGGGCAGATGGTTGGATTTGGCGTCGCTTATGCTCACACCAGTGGACGTCATATTTTCTAAAGTATCAGAAAAAGGTAATGCTCAGAATATTTGGCCACCCTATATTCCTTTTAAAACAAATTAATGCATGGAGGTCAATGCTAACAACTTCAAGCACTTTACATCAAGCAAGTGAAACATTTCTTATGTTGAACTTGTAAATATTACTTTTTTATGTCGTGGTACCAATAATGCGGTTATTAATGAGGTACTATTAGTTTTTGCAAGTTTTGTAATAGCACATATAAATTTTATGTTGATTTCATTTAATTTGTTCGGTGTTGTACGCGTATGTGCAGTCACATTATGCACATAATAAACTTTGTAAAGGTGGTATTTGTTCCTCGGGCCTTGCTACTAAATACTAATGTATCTGGTTGCTGAACTTAATCTTTGTAATTTTATACCCTTGTGATGAACCTCTACCACCAACCCACGATATCCTTTTATAGTGAAGGGTAGCGGGGCAGAGTTTTAAATATTGGATAATTCCGAGTCAAAATATTGGAATTGACTCAGCATTGCTAGGAATTTTTTTTTTGATAAGTAGCATTGCTAGGATCTTGATCTGATATTTGAGTCTTGTTATATTATATAGCTGAGTTAAGCCTAGATTAGTGTTGAATTGGTTTGATGAATGAAATAATTGGATTGACTAGCTTGCTCTGTTAGGTGTCTTGCTATATGATTTGAGATCAATGAGCCATATTGATACAATCTTTTATCTCCTTTGGCGGACCTCAAATGGATCTCTATCATTTTATTTCCCTTACATACTATTCAACACCTTTTGACCCGAGTAAGAATATGGGAATTGACTCAGCATTGGTAGGATCTTTATCTGATATTTGAGTCTCGTTATATTATATGGGTGAGTTAAGCCTAGATTGCTGCTGAATCGGTTTGATGTATGGAATAATTGGATTGACTAGCTTAAACTGCTAGGTGTCTTGCAATATGATTTGAGATCAATGAGCCATATTGATACAATCTTTTATCTCCTTTGGCGGACCTCAAATGGATCTCTATCATTTTATTTCCCTTATTCAACACCTTTTGACCCCCAAGCCTTTCAAACATTGCTATATAGAGACACTGTTCCTCTCTTACTCTTTTCTTCTTCTTCTCACTCTAAGCCAATCAAGCACCCAAGCCAATCAAGCAAACTAATCAAAGTTCCAAAGTGAAAGATTTTGTTCTCTAGATACTTGAGTAGTATTATATGCATTATTTTCTTATTTTTTAAATCTAATTTTTGTTTAAGTACGGATAGACCTACGTGAGCCGTGTGTATATATTATAGATTTGTCTTGTAAATGTGTATGAATGTGTTTCAGGTCTAGGCTAATCAAAATTATATTTTTATTTTCAAATTTTAAGCTTTTCAGTTTTCTGAAAGAAAAATATATTCAATCTAAAATATACACATATATGCATTCATATATGTATTTGTATATTTATCACAAACATAAAAAAAAAATCGAAGCAAGTTACTTGTTTAGCTTTACAATCTGTTTAAAACCTGTTGAAAACATTAATTTTATATTTAATATCTTCTTAAAAATTAAAAGATGCCTATAAAAAATAAAAAATAAAAGAGTATCTAAAACTAACAATAATATTCGGAGATATCATATACAATATAGTACTAATAACTAATATAAGTTACAATATAGTACTAATAGCAATCACATGTTTAATCTATTTGGAATTTTACAATTACGACTCATGAACTCTTTACACGATGTTTATGTAGTTCTTTTGGCTATTTTATTTTATTTTTTATTATCTAAAAGAAAAAAACAAGATTTTGGTTTTTATTTTCAATATATCTTCCTATATGCTTACTATGGAGTACTTTTTAACTTAATTAAATTGTGTTTGTAGGGTTGGAACCCACATCTTCAAGTCCACAGTTACCATGATGGATACATAATGAGATAGGACCTGTGTACTATACCATTTGACACAAGCCAACTTCAATTTATTTTCTTGTTAGATTTCTAATTAATAAGTTGAAAACTGTGCAACTAAGACTCTTCATATTTAATATTAAAAGTACCATGACAAGATGGACATAATGATGTAGAGAAGCATAGTGAAAAAAATGAGAATGCTAGGAACGACTGTGGCAGTGATGATGATAATTAATTCGACTTTTTTATTTTTTATTTTTTATTTTTTAGATTATATTAAGTATTCATTATGCAATGTTATGTAATATCATAAAGATTAGTATGGTAATGCTTGTATTAATCTTATAGCCAATGTTAGATTTCTACATGATGTACTTTGAAGTCTTGTTTGTAGTATTATTAGTGTATGGCAAGTCTTAAATTTGTTAAGCCATGCGTGAGTTGCATCTCTAAGCCTCGAGTCTGTGACTGTTCTGTGACTGCAAATCATGGAATGGTGTACTGAGTCCTCCATCTGTAATATGATAACATAATCAAAAGGGGAGACTATTAGGAAACTGTTGAAGCTGGGACGGTGTATATAAGATTGTGGTTGCATTTCCTATACTACCCAAATATCAGTTTGCCAGTCATATCTTTAAATGATGGCATGCAATGCTCATTCTAATTTTTTCTACTATTTATTGATGCTGTTACTGATTTTCTGTGCTTAAACTCTTTATTTTGTTTGACATGATTTTCTGGCTGTTGTTTCATCCCAGATCTTGAGTGCATCTTCACTGTTATTTGTAATCTTGTGACTAAGCCTGAAAGTCCGGATGAATCATTGGAGATGGCGAAACTTATAGCCACAAAAATCACACAACCAAATGATAAGCCTGCACTGCGCTTGAAGATGTAATATCACTTGGTTACCATAATTTTTGCTTATGGAATTTCAGTGGCATGTTCTCATATTTGTGTTTTTTCAGCATGTTCAATCTGTACAATTTACTGGAGAACCCATACAGCCAGTTCTTTGTTTACATGAAGGCCCTTAATTTGGCAGTCAGCGGGAAGGTCACTGAACACATTATTCCTTCTTTTAAAAAGATGGATAATTTCTTGAGGGAATGGAATATTGGAATCCAGGACCAGAGAGAGCTCTTTCTCACCATATCTGATGTTTTGAAAGAAAATAAAAGGTATAACGGAGATGGTACCTCCTATGACATAAGCATAATTAGTTTGTTTTGTTTAGGTTATAAATAAATTTTCTTGCTCATTTATTTATATAATTTTATTTCTTATGCCTTCTATTTTAATTCCAGCTCAGCAAAGGATTCTTTCAAATTCCTGACGAAATATCTTATAACTTTTTCTGGTGAAGAAGCATCTAATGCCAAAGAAGAAGCTGTGCGTGCTATTATTGAATTTGTGAAGACACCTGACATGTTTCAGGTATTGCAGTTTCATTTTGAATATCAAATATATCTTTAGAGACGAAGGGTATTTAGGGGCATGTTTCTGTTGAAGTAGGGGGTCAATTAGTGAGACTATAGCTTATTAATATTGGTTTCTGATAGTTGCTTTCATTAGTTTTACATGCTCTTTTAACATTCTCTTGATTTTATTATTTATATTTTCTCAATTTACATTTATTTCTTTTCTTGATATGTTTTTGACATGAATATATGTAATACATGGCTATATGTCTTTTCAATATCTTATTCTAGGCTTTGTGATACACAGAAATACTTAAAAACTACATATTTTATGCATCCTTGACCTATAATCCTTGAGAACTAGCGAGAGTACTGTTGGAAACTGTTCTATTTGTGATTTAATTTCAGTTTTGTTTGAATCTTTTAGTTCGTTTGAATAGAATGAAATGCAGAGCTGGTGTAATCCCAACTTGATTTACTTTGTTAACCTGAGAAGACATCATTAAGCAACAGTTAAACAAAGGATTATGCATATTACAACATTAAAAATTTACTTTTTGAGTGATTGATCAATCGTTTTAAAGATCTAGGTTTTGAAACTTACACAGGGCGTTACGGGGTTTAATTTGTGATTTTTTTGTTCTTTCTTTTTTGTGGGAACTAATGTTTTCAATATTATTTATCCATCCAAATATATTTGACATAAGCTTAACCAATGTGAAAAGGTACATGCTTCATCTTAAATTTTTTTTACCTATAACACTTAATCCCTGAAAGGCATTGTTGTCTCCAACACCATAATTATGATGGAGGCGGCATGGAGACATAGAACCTTGTTAATAAGTTCATGTAAGCAGTGTTAATATTATTTATCCATCCACAAATATCTTTGACATAAGCTTAACCATTGTGAAAAGGAACATGCTTCATCTTAATTTTTTTTAGCTATAACACTTAATCCTGGAAGGCGTTGTTGTCTCCAACACCATAATTAAGATGGATGAGGCATGGAGACATGGAACCTCGTTAAAAGGTTTTTGTAAGCAGAGGAACATGTGAGTGTTTTTGGAGATGCAACACTGATTGAGGGATTTGCTGCAATTTTCTTATGTCTGCAGTGTTGTTTAACTGTTGTGGTTTATGTTCAGCACTGGTGTGTGAAAATGTTGAAGGCAAAGAATATCCATTTAAAACTTGAAAACTTGTTTGATACCTGGTTAGCTTTAACCTTTACATAATCATGTCTGCTTTGGGCTTTTGTGAACTCTTGACTTAGCCGAAAAAAATGGTTTTACTATATTTCAACTTGACAACTTGCTTTGTATAAAAAGACAGAAAAAGGAACAAACTGGAATTTGGCAATGTAGTACTAGTATGGAAGGCTTTTTAAGCCCACACAACATCAAATATAAAAATTTACATGTAAGCAAGCAATATAGTTTTAGTCATGTACTGAGACACAGGTCTAATCTTTACCTGTAAGACATCTTTCTGATTTTGTCAAGTTCATCCAGGAGGGAGGTTGGGCTGTATTATTTTATATTTTTTTTGCATGAGCTTGTGGGTTTTCCAGGTGTATGTGTGTGTTTTTTATTTATTTGTTTATTTTTATGTCGACACCATGTATTTTGTTCTTTGCTCTGCTAACTCTGGTTCTAGGCTTGTGGAATAACTTTATTCTTATGCTTGCTCGTGCAATTGCAGAGGTGTTTACCATTTTTTGGTGGGCTGTTTCGATCTAAATCATTTTTTTGTTGTTGGTGCTTATCATATTCTTTGTGGTGTTTCATGGCAGTGTGATTTGCTTGATATGCCCGCTGTAGCACAATTGGAGAAGGATGCTAAATATGCACTGGTATATCAGCTTCTGAAGATTTTTCTATCTGAGAGGCTGGACGCATATCTAGATTTTCATGCAGCAAATTCTACTTTGCTGAAAAGCTATGGTAACGTCCATTTAAATTCTACGCAGGACATGAGTGAAGGCTGACATTTTAGAGTACTTCTAATCATCTTCTGGAATTTGCTTCTTTGAATGATGCAGGTCTTGTCCATGAAGACTGTATGGCGAAGATGAGGTTGATGTCATTGGTTGATCTTGGTTCTGCAGAATCTGGCCAAATTCCTTATTCTCTAATCAAGGACACACTTCGGGTAAGCTTGTTTTCCTTGCCGTCTCATGCTATCTATGCTGGTTTTGCAGTATATGTCTTTGTTGATCACAATGGTTTTCTTTGCAGATCAATGATGACGAGGTGGAATTTTGGGTGGTTAAGGCTATAACAACAAAGTTGCTTGAATGTAAGATGGATCAGTTAAATCAGATTTTAATTATAAGGTGCGCTGTTTAGTTACTTGTCTCTGTGTATTGTGATTTTTTTTTTTTTCCCCTGTAGTTTACTTTTCTCTATGTATAGTTTGTGTTGTGCTTTCTCTGGATTTTGATCTGATTTATTTATTTTGGTTATTATACTATTTGGTGTGTAGCCGCTGCACTGAGCGCATGTTTGGGCAGAATCAGTGGCAAACCCTTCGAACAAAGCTAGCAACATGGAGGGTATAGAAGCTGCTTCCCCTTTTATTTTATTTTTTTTCTCCACTATTTTCTCTCTTTGCATGTACTGAACAATATGTGAATTTTTTGTTATCCGCGGTACTAAAACAGTATAAATAGACCTAACTGAGACACTTTGGGTCCTGCACTTGCTAGTGTCACTCTTACTATACTTCGTGACACAATAGTATATCATTTTTTGATTTGATTGATGTGCAAATGAAAGCAATGAAATACCAATTTGTTGTACACAACTCGTTAGTTAAATTTCTTTTTTTAATTTATTTTTAAATTGTTCCGGTAAGTCATTCATTTGGTGTTGTCTTTTTGCAGACTAATATTGCGAATGTCATTAGTACCATCCAAGCTAACAAGATAACTGAAGATGGCACACAAGCTGCTGTGCAAGGGTTGACGATACGTTGAGAATTTTGACTTCCAACCATCATTTCATCTAGAAAAAAGTCTTCAGTTTTGAGTTTTGATTGTTTCAGTTCGATCCGATTTCATACATCTTGAGGTTTTGATAGTGACAGGTCATTTTAGTCTGTAATTGTTTTTCCGTTTTAGTTCCGCCTTAATTTTATCTACATGGATGAAATGGATCATCAGCAGAGACTCATGTATTGCTTCTCAGTTTTAAATTCTGACTTGCTCTTCCTAAAATATCTGTTAGTTCTGTTTGTTTGATCATCTTGAAGAAAAATAAAACCAAAGGGGTTGGTCTTTGATAGATTTAGATTTGCTTAAATGAGACTAAGAAAGGAATTGGCAACACGGAATAATATAAAGGCCTTACCAAAATGATGGATGAATGATCCTTGCATACAGGTTTACCATTTCCCAAAAGAGTGAAGTGACATTATTATCCTTAATTGTAATGTTTGAATATTAAAATGAAGGATGAATGAGGCATCCATGCAGGTTTACCATTTACCATTTTTCAACCTGGGTAATAAATGTCTCATTTGGGGAAGTGTGACTCATAATTTCTTTCGAAAAATTCTTTTTGTAACAGAGAGAGTATCTAAAATGTGAAGTGGCATCACTATCCTTAATTGTAATGTTTGAATATTAATCTGTATGGTGGGGGTATAAGGATAAAAAAATGATTTAAAATGCCCCAATTTTCTTTTGGGGTCATGGTTGCTGAGAATTTTCTTCTATCATCAAATAGTTTATGACATCCATTGCAGCATTTGAGATTTGGCTATTAAAATGGGAATCATTGCTTTTGGTTTTTAGCCTTATACCTAGTAACTAGAACATGGGTAGAATCATTTTGTGACTAGGCCCCTAATTTTGCTTGGACAAAGTCTACTAATTGGTGCACCTTATTTAGCTTTATTTTAAATGTGCTCCATTATATCTAAATGTGATTACTTGCTTTTCTCTACAAATAAATGGAGAATGCAACGCCACACAAAACCATTAAATCATGTATCCAATAATGATACATATATATATATATATATAAACACACATGTCTTCTCATCTGGCACATGAACTTTTGATTAGCTTTTGAAAATTCAACACTTAAATTTTACTCCATATATTTTTTAATATTTAAGCGCATTTTATAACACTATAAATATAAAAAGAATATATAAGTATCATTTTAAACAATATAAAATAATTCACTTCCCAATCAATCTTTAGCTTCTATAATTACTTCCCACCAATGATCACCTTCACTCTTTTACCACTCAGCCCTCCTCCTCCTCCTCCCCACCGCCACCACTGCACCACCCTACACTCCCACGTATTATGTCCTCCTCAACTGCGGTTCATCATCCAACACCACCTCACCGGAAGGCTGCAACTGGGACAGCGACACCGATTTCTCACTCTCCAACACTGACCTCAACACTTCAGCAGCTTCCACCGCCTCCTACCAAGGCCCCTCCGTCCCCCAAGTCCCCTTCATGACCGCCCGTATCTTCCATTCCCCATTCACCTACACCTTCCCGGTCACTGCAGACCCCAAATTCCTCCGCCTCTACTTCTACCCTACCACCTACTCCGGCCTGGACCCGACCCAATCATTCTTCTCCGTCACTTCCAATCACTACACTCTCTTAAGCAACTTCAGTGCCTTCTTGACAGTTTCTTCAACCCAACCACAAGTTGATTCACTCATCAAAGAATTCATCATCAACTTCAAAGACAACCAAACACTCCCTAACATAACCTTCTCACCATCTCCCAACTCTTATGCTTTTATCGAACTTGTTTCAATACCGGAAAATCTCTACGTGCATGGCAATGATGAACCTAGCTATCGCACTCGCAGGTGGAGATAATTTCTATTATTGGGATAACAACACTGTTCTTGAAACCCTTTACCGGTTAAACGTCGGCGGTAATACCGTCAACGTTAACAGAGACACCGGCATGTTTCGGACATGGGAGTTAGATGACTTGTATATATATGGTGCTGCTGTAGGGTTTAGACCTCACCGGGATGTTCCGATCCACTATACTTCGGCAACACCGGCTTATACTGCACCTGAGACAGTTTATACTACGTCAAGGACTATGGGGAATTTTAGTTTAAACTATAATTTGACATGGATTTTTGGTGTTGATTCAGGGTTTTATTACCCTGTGAGACTTCATTTCTGCGAGTTTATGATGGAGGTGACTCAAAAATATCAGAGGGTGTTCATTATATATCTTAACAATCGGACGGCTGATGAAGAAGCTGATGTGATTTTCCGGAGTGGTGGTAATGGAATTCCAGTGTTCAGAGACTATGTTGACAAAATCACCATTCTGGAGCTCACTACCAAAGTTGAACAGGTTCCAAAAATAGATGAATAGGTCCATTTTGGGTCACTCATCTACGTAACACATCCCAAGTGAACATGTTCATAATAACTTGAATTCAAGCCACAAACCCAACAATCTCCGCCTTGGATTGAGTTCAGTCTTAGTGCACTGCCCCAACAGCGATCACCTCGATTGAAGATCTCTTCCCCTTGAATAAAACACCATGATGAAATTGATAAACACTCTAATATATATTGATCCAGAAGTATTTTTTAGGACTTTTGGAGGGTCTCTCATAATCTACAGTTATGAAATCATGTGTTACGAAATAAGAATCGAATAGGAGTTTATGAGAAAAAAAGAAAAATAAATGACAAGAAAAAAAAAATAGTACACACACAAATGAGATAAGGATTTACGTAATTCGGTTATGCCTAAGTTTAAGGGGAGAATACAAAACAATATTTTACAATGAAAATAAAAAAATATAAGGCAAAGTGGCTCACACCCAAAACTCAATTACACCCAAACTCTCTTACTCACTAACTGATATTAGAAACACACAACTAAATTGATGAGGGGATTTTCGGATGCCTTGAATCAAATGTATGCAAGGCCATATATAGCTCAAAAATACTTGGTGACCAAGTATATTCAAAAAAAATTTCTTTGAAAGCTTTGTCAAATGAGCTTGTTGTGCCCATCAAAAAACTTCCTCATCGCACATACTCAAAGGTCAAGAAGGTGAAGTCATGGATGATGCAAGACTTGTTGAGTTGTCAATTTTAAGCCACAAAGTTTAACATTATTGAAGATGCAAGAAACTCCTTCTATTCTTTCTCTCTCTAGAATTCTTACACCTCAACCCGAATCAAGATCCCTCTCCTCTTCATTCCAACTCCTATTTATAGATACTTACCAGATATTTACGAGATATTTACAAGATATTTACTAATTGCTGGACCTGGGCCTATTCCTCAGTAAGCCCTGGTCACTCTTGACGGGCTTACTCCCGCTCGGCCCATATGGCAGTGTCTTTCTATGGGCTGACCCAGCTGTTCGGACTGAAGGTTGTGTTTTGCGAGTCGGACCTGGCCCATGTCATCCAGGGCCTCCTCAACTGCCCCCATAATTGCCCCTTATTTAATAAGGGGTAATTATTGATGGCGTCTCATCATGACGCTGACGGCTCGAGATAACCACGTGGGGGAGCGAACGGTCAGATCCAGAATCAATGTTCCGGGGTTCGAGGGATTTCTTGCCTTCCCGACGCTTCGGCCCTCGGGCCCCCTTGCCTATATAATGCTCTAGAATTCCACTTCACTTCCCTTTACCGTCTCCATCATCAGCCAAATCTCCCTCTTTCTAGAACTGTGCTAAGCCTTTTCCGGTGAAATCCTTCGAGAGTCATTCTCCCAGCGATCTTGCAGTCCTCCGAGGTTAGTTTCGTTCTTTTTACTTTCGGCAGGCTTCCATTTTCCCTCTTTTAGATTCTTCTTGCACTTCCACCATGGTTGTAGATCTGGGTGTTCTTCGTATGAGACTTAGACTTCCTGACAACGTCGTAGTTAGGGTTTGCCCCCAAGACGTTAATATTACGACCGGCGCCGGCCTCCTGCCCGGCGAAGTCTTATTCACAAACCTTCAACTGAATGTTGTTAGGTTCCCTCTGCACCCTTTCTTTAGTTACGTCTTCAACAGATTGGGGATATCCCCTCTGCAGGTCAACCCCAACTTCTTTAGGATCATATCTGTTATGCTCTTATTGATGCGTGACAGAAATCTGGACCTTGACCTCATAGACCTCCTTCTGTGCTATAAGGTCAGTAAGATCCGTACTAACGAGCCCTTCTACCACCTCTACCCGTTCGAGAAGATGTCCATATGCACTGACACAATAAAATCTGAAAAGGGTTGGAGGGATAGCATAGTGGGTATTAGTGGGGCTTGGTCTTCGCCGGCTGCAGAGGATTACCCAATCCCGAGCGCCTTTGGTGTCTGCTCTGTCTCCTCCTATAAAAAATTCAAATCCCATAAACACGACTGCCCCTGTGAAACATGCGTTCCTCGTTTTTGCACTTACTTATGCCGCTCCTTGGGAATACCTTGTGATGACTTGAGCTACAGTGTTTGCAGGGATAGGATTAACTACTTGAAGAGATACGTTCTGAACGATATTCCTTCCTGCTCAGATCTCCTCACTTCAGACAACCTCTTTGCGCTCTCATCACTCGGCTACAATATGAGCAGACTGCAGATTCCCTCTTTTGGCAGGAGGAAAAATACTCCCCCAGTCATTCCTGCTGCTGGGGCGACCTCCTCTCCAGCGTCGGCTTCTTCTTCAGCCACCATATCTGACACTGTCCCGAGCGCAGTGGCTACTAACCCTGCTGACAGCGCCCCTGCGGCCAACCAGAACGCGGCCTCCCCAGCTACCATAACTCCTGCTGCTGCGGGGGGCGGTCGGGACAAAGAGCGAGGCAAAAGGCCTCATCCTGACAGTGAAATCGACCCTGAGGAGGAGCCTCTTATTAGAAGGACCCGAGTCTCTGGGCCGGGTACTCTCTTGCACCGAGCGATCAGAGCTCCTTCTCACTCTGGGCCTCCTGCAGCTGGTGGCTCTGCTTCTGCTTCAGGCCCCCCTTCTATCCCCAGCTTACCGCCATGGGCCCCTCGGTACACTCGAACGGATGGGACGTTCGTGAAACCGAACGAGACCATGCTGAAGGATGGCCAGACCGCTATGGCCTACTACAGGAGCATGTGGACTCCGAAGGACATTGAGGCGGCAAAGGGCCTTTCCCAGAAGGACGTGTTCAGTCGCTTTCCCCAATCTGCTATGGAGGTGACTTTTATTTTCTAACTCATGAATTCTCTTATGTTACTTGGTCTTGCCTTCGCCCGTTCTGACTATTGGTTTAACCGTTCTTATTGTGCACCTATGCAGACATTGTTCGGGATGATGGCCATGCAGAAGCAGGTGGAAATGGGGAACGCCAGGGCCCGAAAGTATTCTGACAGCCTGGAGGTGGCTAATAAAGAGAACGACCTCCTTGCCATGAAGAATACCGAGGTGCTGGTTCGGCTTGACAAAGCCGAGCAAGAGAGAGATGTCCTGAAAAAGGAGAATGATTCCCTTCAGGATGAGAAGGACGCCCTCCAGCTTGAGAAGAGCGTCTGGCAGACTGAACAGGAATCACTCAGAGAAGAGAAGGCAGAACTCCAACGTCTTCTAGCTGATGAACAGTCTGCTCGGATGGCTTTTGAAAAAAGAGCTCTGGACGAGCGTACCGCTCTGATCGACGCTATCAGCAGAGTGGGTGGTGGGATGCTGGCCCTTCATGCTCGGTTCTCCAGGGTCGGTGCTCTTCGGTATGCTCAAGGATTCCGGGAAGGTTTCGCTGACCGGGTTCCGGATGAGGGACAGACCAGCTCCACTCCGGATGAGGTAGACAAGGATCTGGGGATCGAGCCTCTGGGGGTCTATGTCGACCCAGAACCCACCGAAGCGGAGCGTATATTTGATGAGTGCCAGGACATCGCATCCTCAAGGATCATCACAGCTCCTCCTACCGCTCTGCCACTGACCGCTCCCCAATCGTCAACCGTGGCTCCCTCTGTAGCCACTGCTGACGCTGAACCCCAGCCGAACGACTCAGTTATTCACCTGGATTCCCCACCTCATGAAGGTGAGGCGGCTGATGGGGCCGAGGAGGCGAGTCGGCAAGACCAGGATGCTGTTGGTACTGAGGCGTCTAGCTAGGGCTCCTTCGAATTCTTCCAGTTCATATCTTCTTGTAATGATGGACATCTCTCTTTTGTAAACTAAATGTTCAATATTAATGAAATGGCCGAACTCTTTTTCTCTATGTGTTGTGCTCTGTTCAACTTATCTTCAGTACATATATATCTTTTCTCTCTTTTTCTTTTTATATTAGCTTTGCTGTGTGTTTGTACGGCAAGTGCCTGGCGCTCGGCTAGAATGCCACTTGCCACTTGGCTTTAAATTTTTAGGAAGTGTCTGGCGTTCGGCTTATAGTGCCAGCTGCCACTTATCTTGCTTAAGTGCCTGGCGCTCGGCTAGAATGCCACTTGCCACTTGGCTTTAAATTTTTAGCAAGTGTCTGGCGTTCGGCTTATAGTGTCAGCTGCCACTTATCTTGCTTAAGTGCCTGGCGCTCGGCTAGAATGCCACTTGCCACTTGGCTTTAAATTTTTAGCAAGTGTCTGGCGTTCGGCTTATAGTGCCAGCTGCCACTTATCTTGCTTAAGTGCCTGGCGCTCGGCTAGAATGCCACTTGCCACTTGGCTTTAAATTTTTAGCAAGTGTCTGGCGTTCGGCTTATAGTGCCAGCTGCCACTTATCTTGCTTAAGTGCCTGGCGCTTGGCTAGAATGCCACTTGCCACTTGGCTTTAAATTTTTAGCAAGTGTCTGGCGTTCGGCTTATAGTGCCAGCTGCCACTTATCTTGCTTAAGTGCCTGGCGCTCGGCTAGAATGCCACTTGCCACTTGGCTTTAAATTTTTAGCAAGTGTCTGGCGTTCGGCTTATAGTGCCAGCTGCCACTTATCTTGCTTAAGTGCCTGGCGCTCGGCTAGAATGCCACTTGCCACTTGGCTTTAAATTTTTATAGTAGACCATTGGAAAAGAAAATTCTTCTCTTTTTTTTTTGTAAATTTCGGTAACTTGCTCATTCATACGTATTTGATTGACAACAAATAACATCCAATTAAAACCAGAACTTAGCTTCTATTGATAGTACCTCTTCAGAGACGTGGCGTTCCAGGGCTTGCTGACCAACTTTCCCGCCATGGTTTCCAACGTATATGCCCCTTTGCCAATGACTTCTGCAATTCTGTATGGGCCTTCCCAGGGTGGCATCATTTTTTTGACCATCCCCACCTTTCTTTTCAGAACCAGATCGCCCGGGGCAAAATCCCTGTGTTTTACTCTCTTATTGTGACTATTCGCCAGCACTTGCTGATACGATGCTAGCCTTATAGCCGCTGCGTCCCTCCTTTCGTCTATCATGTCGAGGTTCAATCTTAACATCTTGTCGTTCTGATCTCGACTCCATGCTAAGCTTCTGATAGTGGGGACTAAATGCTCAACCGGTATAACTGCTTCGGTACCATACGCCATCGCGAACGGGCTCTCCCCAGTCGGCCGCCTTGGGGTGGTTCTGTAAGCCCATAGAACGTTCGGGAGTTCATCCAACCACTTCCCCTTATGATCTTCCAGCTTCTTCTTAATGCAGGCGAAAATGGTTCTGTTTGTGATTTCTGCTTGTCCGTTAGCCTGAGGATGACTTACTGCAGCCAACTTCTGGTTGATTCCATACTCCTCCAGCAGCTTTCTTACTTGCCTGCTGTCGAGGTTTGTGCCATTGTCCATGACTATTGTTCTGGGAACACCGAAGCGGCAGATAATGTTGTTCCAGATAAATCGTCTCACCTGAGTCTGAGTCACGCTAGGATACGGTTCTGCCTCCACCCATTTAGTGAAATAATCCGTGGCCAGTAACACATACTTGTTCTGAGCTCTTGCAGTTGGCAGAGGACCGACCACATCCATCCCCCATTGCGCGAAAGGCCACGGCGAGGCCATTACGTGCAATTCTTCAGGTGGTTGGTGGATCATTGGTCCATATCGTTGGCACTTATCGCACCTTCGAGAGAACTCCTCCGCATCTCTTGACATGTTTGGCCAAAAATACCCTTGTGTCATTGCTTTATGCGCTAACGATCTTCCCCCAGAATGATTGCCACACACACCCTCATGAATAGCTCGCAATACCTGCTGCGACTCCGCGGGGGTGACACATTTCAAGTACGGGCCAGAATAGGACCTTCTGTACAGCTGGTTCCGCACGATGGCGTACTTGGCAGCATTCTTTTTGAGTTTCCTAGCTTCATCCCTTTGCATAGGCAAAACGCCATCTCGAATATAGGTAATGATTGGGTCAATCCAACTCGGTTCATACGGTATGACGTTGACTTGCCAAGGGTCCGAGACCATCGGTTCTTCGAAAATGGACGGCTGGGTCACTATTCCCACTGGAATCACCCTCGCCAATGTTTCACCGCAACTTGAAGCACTGCATGCTAAACGGTCTGCATCTGCATTCTGTTCCCTCGGCAACTGTATGAATTCAATCTTTGCAAAGTCCTTGGCTCTACGCAGAACGGCAGAACGGTATGCCCCCATCATGTCATCCTTGGTTGCGTACTCACCATTTACCTGCCGAACAATCAGCTGCGAGTCACTATACACTGTCAAACTTTTGATCTGTAGCTCTTTGGCCAACTTTAATCCATTTAGCAACGCCTCGTATTCCGCTTCATTATTGGTGGCTCGGAACTCAAGTCTGAGTGCTTGGCTCAAGGAAGTACCCTCTGGGGTTTGCAGTTTGATCCCAATCCCAGCCCCCGTCTGGTTAGAGGAGCCATCCACAAAAAGTTTCCAAGAGCCGCTTCTAAGGTCCTCTTCCGTATCTTCGGCATCACATTCTAGTAGGAAATCGGCCACCGCTTGCCCTTTAATAGCTGTTCTCGGCTCGTACGTTATGTCAAATGAACTCAACTCTATGGCCCACTTTGTCATTCTGCCCGAGAGCTCTGGCTTGTGCATGAGCGTTCTGATTGGGAAAGTTGTTAGAACAGCTATGGGGTGGGATTCAAAATAATGCCTTAACTTTCTTTTTGCATTTACAAGTGCAAGTACCACCCGTTCGGCCTTTGAGTATCTTTTTTCTGCCTCCATCAGTGTTTTGTTTACATAAAATACCGGGTATTGCACCCCTTCCTTGCAACGAATCAGAACGGCACTCGTCGCGACACCAGATACTCCAAGATATAGAAATAACTTTTCTTCCGGTTCTGGGGCTGACAGGACTGGCGGATTCTGCATATATTGCTTCAAATGAGTCAATGCCTGTCGTTGCTCATCCCCCCAGACCTGCCTTCCATGGCTCCGAATCGTGTCAAAGAATGGTTTGCAGTGGTCTGACAACTTTGAAATAAATCGACTTAATGCAGCTATTCGTCCTGTTAGGGCTTGCACCTCTCTGATCGTCTTTGGCTCGGCATTCTTAATCAAAGCCTCTGCTTGAGCGGGGCTAACTTCGATGCCCCTGCGGTTGACCACGTGTCCCAGAAACTGCCCGGAACTCACACCGAACGAGTACTTGGTCGGATTGAGCCTCATCCCATATCGCTTTAGTACATCAAATACCTCTTGCAGATGCTTCAGATGATCATCCTTTTTCCTACTTTTCACCACCATATCATCAATATAGGCTTCGACAATCTTACCCATTTGATTCTTAAAAACTTTGCTGACAAGTCGTTGATAAGTTGCTCCCGCATTCTTTAATCCAAAAGGCATAACTTTGTAGCAGTATGTTCCTCGCTCGGTGACAAAAGAAGTTTTTTCTTCATCTGCGGGGTCCATAGGAATCTGATTATAACCTGAATATGCGTCCAGAAAGGTTAAACGCTCATACCCCGTGGTGGCATCCACCATTTGATCAATCTTAGGCAACGGGAAACTGTCCTTCGGGCAGGCTTTGTTTAAATTGGTGAAATCAATGCATACGCGCCATTTCCCATTTTTCTTCTGCACCACAACGACGTTGGACAACCACTCAGGGTAGTGCACCTCTCTGATAAATCCCGCATCAAGCAGCCTATCAACTTCTTCCGTTATGATCTGATTACGTTCTGGAGCAAATCTTCGCTGCTTCTGTTTCACTGGTTTGAAATTAGGATTGACATTCAGGGAATGACAGGAGACGGAAGGACTAATTCCAGGCATGTCGAGGTGACTCCATGCAAATACGTCGACATTGTGGGATAAGAAATCCACTAGCTCTTGCTGCTCTTCTCTGGTCAGTCTTATACCCACTCTGGTAGTTCGTTCTGGCCTGGACTGATCGATCTGCACATCCAGAAGGGGCTCCTCGGTCAAGTCGGCTGACTCCTCCACCATATTCTGCTCGAGTGGAGGTTCCTGTAATTGCTATCTGGGGCTTGTCGACCGGACGGGCGCCTTTCCCTTCCCTGCATGCTTTAGTGTGACGGAATAACACTCTTTGGCTGCGACCTGATCCCCCCGAATGTCTATCACTTTATCTCCATCGGGCCCGAGGCACCTCATGACCTGATGCAGAGTTGAGGGTACACCTCGGACTCTGTGAATCCATCCTCTTCCCATCAGGAGATTATACGAGGGGTGAATTTCCACAACCACAAAAGTTTCCATAAGAGCTCGCTCTGCAGCTTGAACTTCTACTTCCACCATCCCGACGGGTTCCACCCTCTTCCCATCGAACCCTAATAAGGGATTTCCGGTGGGCTTGAGCCTCTCTGGTTTAATGTCGAGCCTGTCAAATGTGTCCCTCGGCATAACATTCGCACTGCTCCCAGGATCGATCAGAACTCTGCGCACCAAGCACTCTGCCACTGTCAAACTGACTACCAACGGGTCGTCATGAGGCAGTTGAACACGCTGCAGGTCTGTCCAGTCGAACTTTATCTGCATTGACGGGCTCTGTTGGTGTAGAGTGGTCACATTGCCGACCCTTTTCTTCATCTGCGCCTGCCGCAGGCGCACCCGTAGCAGCTCATCTGGCTCTTCACTAGGCTCGGGTCGACCATGGATAGCATTGATTATACGAACTGGTTGCGAATTGTGGGAGCTTTGTTTATGACTCCTTTTTATTTGTTCCACTGGTCGATTCTGCTCCATCGCCGAGCCTTGAACATAACTCGCAAACTCCCCTCTAGCTATCAACATCTCCACTTGCCTCCTCAGGTTCCTGCATTCGTTAGTCTGATGTCCGAAATCAGAATGAAAAGCACAATGTTTAGTTTGATCCCTCTGTTCGAGGGGTTGTCTAATTGGCAGTGGTGGATGAAACTTGTCCTTGTTCTCCTGATACAACCTCGCCAGAGTGACCTTCAGCGGAGTAATCAACTCTTCCTCCCTGGACCTTTTTTCGGCCTTCCAAGTGGTCTGACGTTGCGGCTGAGCCTGCTTCTGCCTGATCTTTGCCTTGGACTTTTCCTCGGTCGACACAAGCGACGTTGTCCGAGCATTAGCTGCCTCCTCTTCTTCGAGGCGCACAAAGCCATCGGCTCTCTCATTGAGTTCATCCATGGTAGCTGGCGTATTCACTACCAGACTGGTGTGAAACGGAGTTCCGCGTGTCATGGCTAACTTGAAGGCTTGAACTGCCGTAGAAGGATGGCATTCGATTACCATACTCTTAGTGAGATTAAACCTGGTAAGAAAGGCCTGGAGCCGTTCATCCTTGTGTTGCCGCATCGTGAACAGGCTCGAGATGTCCTTCGGCGGGCGTTTGTTCCCATAGTACTGGCTTATGAACCGATCGCACAGGTCCCTGAAACTGCCAATGGAGCTCCTAGGCAAGTTTTTGAACCAGCTGAGCGCCGGTCCGGCCAGACTTGTAGGGAAGCATTTGCACATTAAAGAGTCGTTTTCCGTATTCAGGGCCATTTTCAACTGGATATGATACACATGATCGATCGGATCGGTTGTTCCGTCAAACAGAATAAAGACTGGCATAGCAAACTTCCTTGGATGCGGCGCATTCAAGATCTCGTCGGTGAATGGTGAATCCACCGTCCGAGCTGCGGATCGGAGAGCTTCATTCTCTCTCTGGAGTCCAGCGGTAGCTCTGTGAGTTACGGTTCTGCCCTCCGAACCGTGATGAGTGACAGTAACCATGGAGGGCCGGTAAGACGGATCGAACGACCGTTCCTCTATGAACTCTCTCTGCCAAGGCGACGCTACTCGACGGCGATCTACCTCCATCACTTCCTCTCGGTCAAACCTTTCCCGCTGCGGATCAACGTGAGTCGAGCCTTCGTGATCTTCAACTCGACGAACATTTGGCGGCGAATTGTCCATCATCCTTTCATCACGGTGGTGAGCTGACTGATTGTTCTCGTTCTGATCGCCTTGATGCGCGATACTAGATGGAACACCTCCTTCTCCGACCGGAAGCGGATGCGAAACTGCGGGTATTTGCCGATGCTGCAATCCAGCTTTCAATTCTGCATTTTCTTTTCTGAGAGCTTCAATCAAATTCATCAACTCTTCAAGCTTTGTTTGCTGGACAGCCTCCATCGGATTGGAGCTTTCACCTATCATTATTCCCGAACGGAGTAAAGGCATTAATCTCAAGTTCGCGAGTAGATCTAAGCTTCGTGAGTAGGAATTTTTAGATCTGGCTTCTAATTTTCCGAATTATGCTCACTGTTTACAAGATCTGAATTGCCTGGACTCTAAATCCGTCAGATCCTGTCACAATCGAGCAACTCGTGGTTGCGTAGATCTGAAGTCACTCCTGCCAAAGCTTCAAGAATCGTAATTCCTCCAGAGTAGGTCACAATCGCTCAGATCTGGATTCAAATCCGCAAGATCGAGTCTCGATCAACCGAATTGGTTTGAATCCATTCGATACTCCTGATTGATCAACCAAACTTTTATGCGTTTCCCACAGACGGCGCCAATTGAAGATGCAAGAAACTCCTTCTATTCTTTCTCTCTCTAGAATTCTTACACCTCAACCCGAATCAAGATCCCTCTCCTCTTCATTCCAACTCCTATTTATAGATACTTACCAGATATTTACGAGATATTTACAAGATATTTACTAATTGCTGGACCTGGGCCTATTCCTCAGTAAGCCCTGGTCACTCTTGACGGGCTTACTCCCGCTCGGCCCATATGGCAGTGTCTTTCTATGGGCTGACCCAGCTGTTCGGACTGAAGGTTGTGTTTTGCGAGTCGGACCTGGCCCATGTCATCCAGGGCCTCCTCAATTATGGTTCTTGAAATTGTTAATGAGCAAAATGATATTGATGCGACACTTTTTGACTGTGAATAGTGCAACGACAAAATGGAGAAATCAGTTTCGCGAGTTTGTGAAGGTTCAATCTTACACCACTGTTTCAGATTTTCCAACAGGTGTTTAGAAGGATTTTTTGTTATAAGAGTTGAGATTATTATTTTATTTGATTCTCTCTTGTTGATTGAAGTATAAATTAGGGCATAAAATTGAGAAAAATCATTGAACGCATTAATCTTATTAGTAGAGATTATGTATCTTCGGCATGCTTCATTTTTCGTGCTTCTTTTACTCTTTATAATTATTATTTTTCTTAGTCAAAAATTTTGGGACCAGAATTTTCCACTTCTTCTTATTTTGTTTTTAATATAATTTTTTTCTTTTTTTTCTTCAGGAAGAAATTTTGACAGTCATTTGTGAAAACTTATCTCTCACATTTTATTTTAAAAAGTCAAAAAGATATCACAATTGTTTAATACATTATTTATTAATTAAAATTTAGACAAAATGTGGACGACTTGACTTTTCCGTCAACCTAAAAAAACAAAATGTGGAACCCTACAATGGGCCCACCAATAATTCGATTCAAAAGAAGAAAATCTATAGTTCATCCAAGATGGTCCTGCACATGAACCCTCAGTCTTGACCCAATCCAATACTTATTTCTCCTCCGTCACCTAGAATTACTACACCCTTCAAACCATGCTTCTATATAAATTATTACATATTTCAAAAAATTATTTATATTTAGTTATTAAATATAGAATGTTTATGACTATTGGAGGAGTGAGTTTACAAATAATGCTTGCAAGAGAATTTCTTTACTATGAACTCTTCATTTTAATTCAAAAATTAAAAGATAAAACTAAATAATTTATTTATTTCAATTCAATGATTAAATCAAAAAAGAATTGTCTCTTATTTTGAAACTATTGTAATATTTATAAATACTTTATTTATATATAACCAGTAAAAATTCTCACATTTGGTTTCTTCCGAAGATAAAAAATACCCATCTTAAACCTTTTTGTTTTTTTTTTTTTGTTTTTTTAATTTTTTATTCACCTTTGTCAAAAAAACAGTTGAAAAAAGTTGGAATATTGGGTCCAATGAGACTAAAAAATGTCTATCTATATATCAATCCCAACTCAAAGACCGTGCAGCAAGACTCTCTCCATCTCACTCAATATAATTAATTTCCCAATCAATAAATTCCACGATTACTTACCACCAATGCTCACCTTCACTCTTTACCTCTTCACCGTCCTCCTCACCACCATCGCCACCACAGCAGCACCCTACACTCCCACCTTTTATGTCCTCCTCAACTGCGGCTCCACCACCAATACCACCGACTCCAACGGCCGCAACTGGGGCGGCGATGTCCACTCCAAATTCTCACTCTCCAACACCACACCAAACACTTCTTCACCCTCCACCGCCTCCCACCAAGATCCCTCCGTCCCCCAAGTCCCCTTCATGACCGCCCGCATCTTCCACTCCCCATTCACCTACACCTTCCCTGACACCGCCGGCCCCAAGTTCCTCCGCCTCTACTTCTACCCCACCACCTACTCCGACCTCGACCTCGACCCCACCCAATCATTCTTCTCCGTCACCTCCAATCACTACACTCTCTTAAACAACTTCAGTGCCTTCTTAACCGTTTCTTCAATCAAACCACCGGTTGCTTCCCTCATCAAAGAATTCATCCTCAACTTCAGAGACAACCAAACACTCCTTAACATAACCTTCTCACCATCTCCCAACTCTTACGCCTTTATCAACGGTATCGAACTCCTTTCCATGCCGGATAAGCTCTATATGTGTGGCAATAATGAAACCATCACACGCGCCGGTGTTGATTATCCCTATTATTTTGATAGCAGCACAGTTCTTGAAACCCTTTACCGGTTAAACGTCGGCGGTAATACCGTCAGCGTTAACGATGACACCGGCATGTTTCGGACGTGGGAACTAGATGACTTGTATATACTTGGGGGTTGTTTCGGGGTGTCAACTCGCGGGAATGGTCCGATCCACTACGGTTCGGCAACACCGGCTTACACTGCACCTGAGATGGTTTATAACACCGCAAGGCTTATGGGCAACCTAAGTTTACTCTGCAATTTGACATGGAGTTTTGGTGTTGATTCAGGGTTTAATTATCTTGTGAGACTTCATTTCTGCGATTTTATGGTGTACGGGACTAAAACGAATGTGAGGGTGTTCACGATATATCTTAACAGTCAGACGGCTGAGGATAAAGCTGATGTAATTTTCTGGAGTGGTGGTAATAGTATTCCGGTTTACAGAGACTATGTTGTGCGGGTCCCGGATGTTGGTGGTCGCCGGATCAAGCAGGACTTGTGGCTCGAGATGCACCCCAACGTCGAAGACAAACCTGAATTATATGATGCAATTCTGAATGGTGTGGAATTGTTCAAATTGAACCGAACAGACGGTATTCTCGCCGGACCTAATCCTGATTTGGTGGTATCTGAAACACCGGAACGGAAACCGAAGATACCGGTGACATCTACCGGTAAACGCTCGTTGCTCATTTGGGTGGTTGTCGGAGGTGTAATTGGAGGGACAGTAGCAATGTCAATTTTGGGTTACGTCATTTTCCGGGAATGGAGAAGAGTCAAAGGCTTTGGCACAATTTCAGTGGCGTCAAGGTCAACGGAGTCAACGAAGTATCATGTTTCATCACTGCCGTCTGATCTCTGCCGACGCTTCTCGCTCGCCGAGATTAAATCAGCTACATGCAACTTTGACGACAATTTTGTTATCGGCACTGGAGGATTTGGTAATGTGTATAAAGGGTTCATAGACAACGATACTGCTCCCATCGCGGTTGCGGTCAAACGGTTGAATCCTGAATCAAGGCAAGGGGCCCACGAGTTTCAAACGGAGATCGTAATGCTCTCAAAGCTGAGACACCGCCATTTGGTGTCTCTGATTGGTTACTGTGTTGATGATGGTGAGATGATCTTGGTGTATGATTACATGGCCCGTGGGACTCTCCGTGATCATCTCTACAAATCAAACCACCCTCCTCTCTCGTGGAATCAGCGCCTTCTGATCAGCATAGGTGCTGCCCGTGGACTGAACTACCTTCATACTGGTGTGAAGCATACGATCATTCACCGCGATGTAAAATCAACCAACATTTTGTTAGATGAGAAATGGGCCGCCAAGCTTTCTGATTTTGGGTTGTCAAAAAAGGGTCCCATTGGGATGTCCCATGTGAGCACTGTGGTGAAGGGTAGTTTCGGGTATTTGGACCCCGAATATTATCGACTGCAACAATTGACAGAAAAGTCTGACGTGTACTCGTTCGGAGTGGTATTGTTAGAATTGTTGTGTGCTAGGTCACCAATTGTTACATGTTTGCCAAGGAAACAAGTGAATTTGGCTGAGTGGGGCCGGTGTTGTTGTCGAAAAGGGAACCTTGATCAGATTGTGGATCCACATCTGAGGGGTCAGATTGCACCAGAGTGTTTAAGGAAATTTGGGGAGATTGCTTGTAGTTGCTTGCGTGATCATGGGATCGAACGGCCATCGATGAATGATGTTGTGTGGGGTCTTGAGTTTGCATTGCAATTGCAAGAGGATGCTAATAGGAATATCAACGGTGGAGATGAGTTTGGTAAGAATAATGTGATGAGTGTGTATGGATCCCCTATTAGTCCCTCTGTTCCTCTTCGTGGATATGAAGAGACAACGACGACGGACGACGACGTATTTTTTGGACCAACTGAATACGTATCTAGTTCAAAAGGCAGTTGATTATATCAACGCCTCAACGATGTATAGCGGTGGATGGAGTGTTGATTACGTAGTATATTTTTAACACATTTATTTAAATGTAAAATAATAATAATAATAATAATAATAATAATAATAATAATTGTTGATGAAATATGTAAAATAATTTTTGAATGAAAGTCTAATACGTGCTCGTGCTGGATTTTGGCGTTTAACTGTGAAATTCATTTTCCATATTATACTTGGTAAAATTTTCATTGGATGTATAAAAAAGTTGAACTCCCATATTTTATCACTTTATCCAAGCAAACCATGGATGCATTTGATAGTATTTACCCTACGATAACATAATTTAATCAAAGGAAAAAAAACAGAATAAAAAATCACAAAAAAAATAAAAATTTGTAAGATGGCATTTTTTTTTGTCTTCTCTTTCTTACACAAAAGCTAGAGAATATAACGAGGAAAAAAATCCAGTGATCCCATAAAAATACACCGATAACTGCCAGTTGAATTTTATTTCTATGTTTTTTGAAAGTTTAAGTAAATACACAATATATATTTTTGTAATCTCGAACACTCAGCCTCCCAAAGAGGAGGAGAGCTTATATGATCTAGGCTAAACCTAAGTAGGTTGGTCATCAAATTTTTTTCTTTTTTTCCTTTTCTATTAATCAAAGGCAATAATTGAGTCCCTAACTTTGCAGGGATTGAGGTCTCGCTTTCCAACCATACTCCTAATTTGAATGGTGGTTGTGTTGTGGGGTTGATACACGTGCTCTAAGGAGAGAGGGGGAGAGAGAGAGAGAGAAAAAAAAAAAAAAAAAAACCTCAATAATGGCCCAACTAGGTCCAAAGGCCTATCCCAATAAAATCTACAAAACACCAAAAATACGGTGGGAAGAAGTAGAACCACATACAAGGTCGACTAAGCCCATTCAAAAGGCCCAAATCTTGGCCCATAATTTAGATTACTGTTGCTTCAATGGCTAGGTCATTCTCGGGTGAATCAATGCCAATATCAATGGCTAGGTCATAATTTATTTTTAAATTGTTCCGGCAAGTCATTCATTTGGTGTTGTATTTTGGCAGACTAATATTGCGAATGTCATTAGTACCATCCAAGCTGTTGTGCAAGGGTTGACCATACGTTGAGAATTTTGACTTCCAACCATCATTTCATCTAGAAAAAAGTCTTCCGTTTTGAGTTTTAATTGTTTCAGTTGGATCCGACTTCATACATCTTAAGGTTTTGATAGTGACAGGTCACTTTAATCTGTATTTGTTTTTCTGTTTTAGTTCCCCCTTAATTTTATATATATGGATGAAATGTATCATCAGTAGAGACTCGTGTATTGCTTCTCAGTTTTAAATTCTGACTTGCTCTTCCTAAAAAATCTGTTTGTTCTGTTTGTTTGATCATCTTGAAGGAAAAAAATAACACAAAGGGGGTTGGTCTTTGATAGATTTAGATTTTGCTTAAATGAGACTATGAAAGGAATTGGCAACTAGCAACACTTGGGAATAATATAAAGGCCTTTACCAAAATAAAGGCTGGAAGAGGCATACATATAGGTTTATCATAGCAATTTTTTAAAGAGACATTCTTTTTGGAACAAAGGATAAAATGTGAAGTGACATTATTATCCTTAATCGTAATGTTTGAATATTAATCTGTATGGTGGGGGTATAAGGATAAAAAAATGATTTAAAATGCCCCAATTTTCTTTTGGGGTCATGGTTGTTGAGAATTTTCTTCTATCATCAAAAAGTTTTTGACATCCAATGCAGCATTTGAGATTTGGCTATTAAAATGGGAATAATGCATTGCTTTTTTGTATGTTAGCCTAATACCTAGAATCATTTTGTGACTAAGCCCTAATTTTGTTTAGAGAAAGTCTACTATTTGGTGCACCCTAGTTACCTTTATTTTAAATATGCTCCATTATATCTAAATGTGATTACTTACTTTTCTCTACAAATAAATGGAGGGACAATATTTGGGTCTAACCAGGTTGGATGAACTTCATCCAACCTAGTTACGTGGCCCAATAGAATTGGGATACCTGTTTAAAATTAGTATTAAATTAAATTGGGCATTGGCCCATCAATTTTCGGGTATAACTCATTTTTCTCTCATCTCCCCAAAAATCTGCAGCGGCGAAAATCACAGCAATGACAAACCCACATCCATCACCAATTAAAAACCTATTTGCCCAAACATCATCGACCCTTCCTCGTCGCCGCCACCGCCGGAATTGGACGCCGGCAGATCACAAGCTCCTCCAGTGGCTTCGTCGCATTTGGTGGAGAAGGAAGTGGCACGGGAAGCAACGTGCTAAAGAGATGTCGCCCACTGTCGTCCTCGTCTGCTCTCTGTCGCTGCTCAGTCAGTAACCACTGTCGTTCCACCATTTTCCTTGCAGCCGTCGATCTCCATCATGCACCAAAGAGCCACTGACCTCATCGCTCACCGCCGTTGCCTCATGCGCCTCACGAGCCTCACGCGCCATTGCGCGTAGATCTAACGCGCTTCACACGCGCTCATGCGTCACCTTCTTCTCGCTGTTCTCTTTTGCGCCTGTATTGCCGCACCTGTTCTTGGCTGTGCCTGTTCTCGATTTACAGCGGTGGAACGTTAAGGGAGCGGAGGAGAGAGAGATTGTAGTTGGTGATGGAGAGGGGTTGGGTGGGCGGAGGGGGAGGGGCAAGTGGGTGTAGGCTGTGGAATGTGATGTTGTAGTTGTAGAGAGAGGGGGGAAGGGGCGATAATATTAGCAGTCCCTTCTTTTTAGCAGCCACGTTCTTCTTCCTCATTAAAAAACAAATCTCACGTTAATGGGTTATACCGAAAATTCTATTAGACCACCTAATCAAGATAAAGTTCATCCAACTTAAGTTGGACCAAGTATTGTCCTTAATGGAGAATGCAATGCCACACAAAACCATTAAATCATATATCCAACAATGATATATATATATATATATATATATATATATATATATATTATGTTTGTGTGTCTTCTCTGGTACATAAACTTTTGATTAGCATTTGAAATTTCAACATTTAATTTTACTCCTTATATTTTTTTAATTTTTAAGCTCATTTTATAACACTATAAATATAAAAAGAATATATAAGTATCACTTGAAACAATATAATATAATTCATTTCCCAATCAATCTTTATCTTCCATAATTACTTCCCACCGATGATCACCTTCACGCTTTACATCTTTGCCTTCCTTCTCCTCCTCCCTACTGCCACCACTGTACCACCCTACACTCCTATGTATTATATCCTCCTCAACTGCAGTTCATCCTCCAACACCACTTCATCGGACGACCGCAACTGGGATAGCGACACCAATTTCTCACTCTCTAACACTGACCTCAACATTTTAGCAGCTTCCACCGCCTCCTACCATAGCCCTTCCGTCCCTCAAGTTCTCTTTATGACCGCCCGTATCTTCCATTCCCCATTCACCTACACCTTCCTTGTCACCGCCGGCCCCAAGTTCCTTCACCTCTACTTCTACCCTACCACCTACTCCGACCTCGACCTCAACCCCACCCAATCCTTCTTCTCCGTCACCTCCAATCACTACACTCTTTTAAACAACTTCAGTGCCTTCTTAACCGTTTCTTCAATCCAACCACGAGTTGCTTCACTCATCAAAGAATTCATCATCAACTTCAAAGACAACCAAACGCTCCTTAACATAACCTTCCCACCATCTCCCAACTCTTACGCCTTTATCAACGGTAGCGATTCGTCTCCATGCCGGACAATCTCTACGCGTATGGCAATGATGAACCCATCACACTCACTGGTGCAGATTATGTTGGGTTTTAATCAAATTAATCCATGTAGAAATCAAGAATACTTTAATTAATTAAAGAGTAATTTAGATTCGTATCTAATTGATGATTAATGCACATATACCTTTAGAATATCCATGTAATTCTCTATGAGTTCCTGCAAAACATTAGAGCGCTTTATACTCTTCTGAGAGTTGTCAATATGATAGGTCTGAATAAGGGTTTTAAAACCCTTATATATAACAAAAGGGGGGACGGCTTCTCTACAAACAAGCATACCTAAATCTCCATTCCTATCATGAAAACTTAGATATTAATGGTTAGAATTAAATCACACCAAATAAGTTGAAAAAGCATAATCCAACGATATAAAACCATACTCCTAATTAGACTACAAAATTGGAAAGTACAACCCAATCCATCAAGTATCGATAATCACATTGCAATCTTATTTTAGAAAACGTAGTGTATAGGATCATAAAATAATTTTTATTATTTACATATAAAATTTTCAATAATCTCACACTTGACCCATGCACTCTAAGTTTTATAAAATGACACTATAGATTGTTACACACTAAAAAATCAAGCGGCCACTCATTTTTGTTTTATAAAAAATATAATTATCGAAATAAATTGATTGATACTTAAGAACACTCTCCTCCTTAGATTTCCTCAATAGTAGATCATGAATGCGTAAACAAGTAATATGTTAGTCTAAACAGTTTCATGATCTCAAAATCGATTCCATCTAGTATTCAAGCAAATATAGTGATTTTTTACTGTATTTCATGAGATGTGCAAATTGCATGTGGTCTAAACCCACACCTCATTATTCGTCCTACTTCATACCATCACGGTATGTCACCTGAACATATTATAGCAAACCAACAACCTTCTGTTCAGTGTGAGGGTTTACCGATATGGAGCCAATCTCATATCTAGCCCAAGCTATCCTTATGGAGTGTGAAAAAACTCCCACAGGCAAACTTTAATATTTATGTTTGGATTTACCAATATGGTGTCAATCTCACATCTAATTCAAACAAGCTCATGAATGCATTACCACTCCCAGACAACTCTTATGTTTGGATTTACCGATATGGTGTCAATCTCATATCTAGCCCAAACAACTGCATGAGTGAAATATCACTCCCAGACAAACATAATAGCACGTGCATAAACCATATATATCAATATAATAATAACGATGCATTATAACTTTATTTTGGATGCAAATAACAGTCACCATAAGGCATAAACTAGAAGCAAAATAACTGTCACCACAAGGCGTAGGGAAACTAACTATAATAGCACATATAAAAGAAATACCGGACATCATAACATAATGACTCTCGAACACGTATCTGAATTACGTGCTTTATAAATACTTTATTATCTTCGGCTGAAGACCTCTAGTGAGAGGATCTACAATCAAATTTTTTACTCTATCTGGGAGCCTCAATAACACCTTCCTTAACTTTCTCACACATTAAAAAAAAAAAAAAAAAAAAAAAAAAAAAAAAAAAAAAAAAACACCTACAGTATTCTAAACTTCCACTGGATTCGCCACTCTTATCAAATTTGTATGATATATATCAATAATCTCCATAGGTATACTGGATAGGGAAAAAAAAAAAAATCTTCAATCTTTTAATCTTTTAAGATACCCAATAAAATGACAAGTTACAGTACAAGGATCAAGCTTCTTAATATCAGGATTATACGACTTTGCCTCTGTAAGACATCCCCATACATGCAAATATCGAAGACTAGGTCTACGACCTGTCCAAAGCTTGAAAGGTATTTTAGGAGCTGCTTTACATGGTACCCTATTAAGAATATAAACTGCCGTTTTAAGAGCTTCTCCCCAAAAGTTCTCAGGTAGTGAAGAATGGCTCATCATACTGCGACCAACATCTTGATAGGTGCGGTTTCTCCTCTCTACAACTCCATTTTGTTTAGGAGAACCAAGTGTGGTATACTGTAGCACTATACGTTGCTCTTTGAAGTACGTGACGAAAGGACCATGATTCACACCCTCCTGGTCCATTCTCCCATAATAGTCACCACCTCGGTCCGATCTTACAATTTTAATCTTTTTGCCTAACTGTTTTTCAACTTCAGTCTGATAGATTTTAAATATGTTAAGTGCATCGGAC